CTGAAGTGTGTTCTCTGTAGAGGATGTGTACTTATTTTCACTAATGGACAAACTTGAATGCTAACTAAGTGGCGACCAATCAGATTGTTGATATGTTGATAGCCACGCAGTGAGAACACACAATAAGTGTGAGGTTAAACCGTTGATAAAATGTTATAAAGTTAGATTTTTTTTAAAGTTAAAAAACAGTATTTTGCTGTGTTGGGTTTCAGAAAGGGCCTCTATCTCTATACACACTTTTTCTCTTTGCACACAACCTGTATGTTTTAGTGACAAGCCCCCAAAGCACCTAACTGCTGTGGAGGAAAGCGATTCAGCTCACTGTAACGAAAACACAGCGTTAAATATATTAATAAAAATAAAAATACAAACTCCTCTACAAAACAAGTGCGCATGAATCTTTGCTACACTCAAATTCTCAGATCTCTGTATTATTATCATTGTTTTTAGCAGTTGCAGTTCTGAAGTCAGGGAGTGCAGCCCCTTCAGCAAACCCACTTTCCTTGTCCCTGCTTATGTAGATTTAGTACATTACGTCCAAAGCTTTCACAGTTCACCTTTTCACTCTATTTAGACCTATTGCAGCCGCAGCCTTTTTTTTTAGCTGGGTCTGTAATTTAAATGATTAGAGAGGAGATCTGTGATTTTAATCCAATATGAATCTGTAAGGTGTGTAATTTGTACAGTCTGACAGTCATAACTGAGGAGTGAATGGTCCACTGTAATAGGCTGAACTCAGAGCTGCCTTAGTAACAGTAGTCCTGCTCCAATCCACCTTATGGGATGACAATGCATGCTAACAGAAAGAGCTGTGCAGTGTGCTGCTAATAGGAACTAGACATGGCTCCAGAGAATTTGTAGAAAGGAGAATTGCTACTCAGTAATGTCTTCCGGGTTTGTCAGATGCTAGGGGCGCTCCCGAGCAAGTCCAAAATGAGAGGATTGATAAGGAGCTCTTGAGCAAGTTCATGGTTTATAAATGCTTAAATAATTTTCTATTGAAGAATGCATTCATTTCCTGAACACAGAACAGCATAAAACATTTCAACATCACTGTTATATTTTTAGGAGCTTCTGAACTCCAGTTACAGGACTTGCCTGATGTACATTCATGATAACAGTGAGCACAAACCGCTTCATTCAGTCAATGAGCTGCTCTGTTCGCCAACCAAGCAGCACTCAGTAGCAGTAATGCTAGCATCCTGCTGCTCGTACCTGTTTGCAGTATAAAAAGGAAATATACAGGCAAGTTTTCACTGGTTTTAGTGAAATACATCCTTCTGCTTTCCAATTTTTAAAGAGGGTCCTGGACATGTGATTAGAAACTATTTTAACATTTTTGTTTTTAGACATTTAGCTCCATTCACCCCACTTCATTTAGGATTTGCTCGCAGGTGCCCTCTGGCTGTTTATATTTTTGATACAATGGGAAAAATAGGAAGGGGCCAGACTCCCCCTAAACAGGCTTTGAACATATTATCAGAAGTAATACAACAAAACATATGGCCTGTGCAAAAGTTTGGTACATTTTACATATACATTTTTTCCTAATATGTTAAAACTCAGTAAATAAATAGAAAGTGTGCACTAAAATCTGCAGACCAATGCCATATTTATGTTTGTTCTTGTAGAGGATGTTCATTTCACTTAGAGAATAACTAAATGTATAATTTGAAGAAAAATGTGAAAAGAATTTTATTGAACACAAGCCAATGTTCCTCTATACATATAAAAGCTTTAACACAGTGTGATTTATTTGTGTGATTAATTCGGACATCAGTAAAAAAAAATAACATGTGTGCAACTGATAGTATCTTGCACACCAAATGCAAAAATGCAAAATTATGTATTTGGCTTCTGTTTGGTTTTTGCAAAACTTTTGCAGGAGACATGAAATCACTCAACCAATCAGGTTCATTTGTTCACATTAGGATAATTAAGATGGTCATCATGCATAGTACCAGTATCTCCAATGGATATCCAAGCTATCTGTTAAAAGTTTTCATAAAATTTCAGCTCCTTTTGCATTGCTGGAACAGAAAGTTGCATTTGTTAATTTTTTTGCAATGCAAAGAAAAATAATTTTAATGCCAAAAATTAATGTGGTATATTTTGAATTGAATTGAAAGTTTTTAATGAATTAGAATATTTTTATCTTTTAATTATATTTTTAATTTCACTATTCAACATGCCCTGCGATGGACTGGCGACTGTCCAGGGTGTATCCTGCCTTCCGCCCAATGACAGCTGGGATAGGCTCCAGCACCCCACCGCGACCCAGAAGGATAAGCAGTTTAGATGATGTATGTATGTATTCAACTTGATTACATTAATAAATACATCAGATGAGTTGATTTCCTTTCCGCCAGCAGAATGGCCAATATGAGGCTGGCAGAAAGGGGTTAATGGTATGTTATTGTCGATGTTTGGGTTTTGTTGTACATGCCTGGGTACACCTTGACTTCAGTACTGAACAATCGGCATCCATGTTTAAAGAAAAATCAACATCTGATTTATTCCACACCATGATTGCTAAAGTTGGGAGAACTGAACTCTTTCCAGATCGTTCCACCATGCATTGTGATTGCTGCTGGTGGTGGCAGAATTGTTTTAGAACATGTGGTTTACCACCATCTATCTACCAGCATAATGTAAATGCAGCATAAGAAACAATGTACAGAAACTTGTGATATATATGTCATTGATATGCATGTCTAAAGCTCTGACTTCAGTTTCTTGGTTAGGATTAGCCATCACCAGGAATGAAATGATTCGTATTGTTGCCACTATTGGAGGGTTAATGGTGTTGTATTAGTTTCAGTTGACATAACTCATGTAGGTTATGGATGCAGTGGCATTTGGGCGTTCGTGTCCACTGAGGTAAGACGATGTTAGGACACGTGTGTTAACACAGATGGTGGGTAATCACAGATGATAAGCAAGGGGAATTCCTCAAAACATGGTAACCCCAGAGCAGGAAGGTTAGAGGTACACACACACACGCATACACACACGCGTACACATACGCATACACAGGGTCAATAAGAAAGGAGCATGGATGTCGGGTTATGTGTTTTATTTTAAAATAAGCTTTTATTTCGATATCTTTTTAATCATATTTATTTCCAGAATGTTAAAACCTCTTTCTGCCTCTGAAATTGAAGACAGCCTTTTTTTTCCACTGAAATAATAACTTCCTTCCTAATCTTTAAATAAACGTCTTTAATAGATTGACTCTTATATCTGACATAATCTACATTACAAACCTTACAACATAAAAATCATTAGAACGAACATGAGGAAGGAAAAGTTTAATTTAACAGAGCCGAACGAATGAAAAAAACCAGTGCCTCCACAATGCAAAGAAAAGCTTTTAAAAGAAAAGAGGGTGTTTGATATGTCAGCGGAGAGAGAGAAGCATGACGTCACTGGCGTCGCTAATAAATCAGAAGCAGTTATGAAAGCAATGCAGGTTATGCTTTTGGCTGTTGGTTTTGCAGACACAGGAGAGAGAGCGACAAAGAGAGTAAGTTACTTCAGAAAAACATTCCGATACAAGGAAAATTCCTTATCTAGGTTAGGAATGTTTAACAGAGAAACCTTGGAAATTACCTTCAGCTTAAACCTTTGGCACTTGTTAAATTAAATTAAGGTCTGCATGAGTTTAGCACCCATCCTGCGAGAATGTTCACTATAATTTTTAGTTTTATGTGCAAATAAAGTCCAGATTTAAGGGTCACAGTCAGTGCTGAGTTATGCTCACGTGAACAAATAGGACAGTGAGGATATATTAATTAGCGGCTGCATACGACCCTGATATTTCAAGTACCGCACTGATATCTTCTCTACAGCACCAATATCTCCCCTACAGCAGTGATATCTTCCCTACAGTGCTATTTTCCTTACAGCAGATATTTCCCCTATAGTACTGATATCTCCTCTACAATGCTATTTTCTCGTCAGCACTGCTATCTCCTCTATGATTTTTATATCTCCCCTCTATGGGGCTGATATCTTCTCTACTCTGCTCATTTCCTCTCTATGGTGCTCATATGTCTGCTGTGGCGCTGATATTTCTTATACAGTGATAATGTCTCCGACATGGTGCCGATACCTCCTCTACGATGGTGATATCTCTTCTGCAGCACTGAAACCTCACCCACAGCTCTGCCTGATAGTGTATTCAGTTCCACCTATTCCACCTGTGCACACACCTAAATAGGCTTCCTAATGTTTTTTTTTTCTTTTTTTTTACATTTGGATTTGCTTTTCTTCGTTCAAAGAAAAAGCTGTATTTGTGGGTCTGCGTAGAATGTTGTACTCATGCCTTGATGTGACATTGTAGTGGGCGTTAATATGTGCGCATATATTTTATACATACATAGCGGCCTTTGTTCAACTACAGTTCTAGTTCAAGTTTGAAATCCTGGCACGATGGCTTTGAGTAATCATAGCTGTTCTAGAGCAAATAAATAGCAAATTCTTTAAATGTCGGTGATGATGGTATGAGAATGAACCATGTGGCAAATGGAGACGGGAAATCTAATTCAGGCTTGAAAATGGAAAAAAAAGCATTCATGACAGAGACATAACAAGCACAAGGTGCACAAGAACTCCTATTTACAAATGCACAGCAGTAATTCAAGTTTCCAGTTTATAAAAAGAGACATATATTACCACAAATAAAAGCGTTATAACACAGCATAAACATATTCACACGCAAATGATCCCATGTATATATTTATAGGTATGTAAACATATCTACATATGCCTACATATATAAATATATATTTCATTTACATACATTATTTTCAGTGTATTATGTACATTTCAAGGAGGCAGCAGGTATTTCTCCCTCCTGTGGTTCAGCAATGTGGCACACGCGCTCCCAAGCATACTTCCATACACACATACATCTTTACACATGCGTGCAGATATACACACACAGCTCAATCACCAGTCGGCATCCTCCTCTATATAATAATCAGGTGTGGAAGTACCATCAAACAGGCCAGGGTCCAGAGACTTGCGCTGGGACTTGCCCCGGGCAAACACTCGAGAAAGTGACCCCAGACTCATCTTCTCCTTCTTTTTCTTACGCTTCTGGTCCTCGAGATCCTCCATGGACTGAGCCAACACGGACAAAATAAGCAAGAGATGGGTAGAGAAAGAGAGAGAAAGAGAAAGAGGGGGCAGTAGTGGACACATGGCCAGGTCAGTTATTTTACATGTGATTCAACTGTACAATAATGTCTCCCCAGAAACAGGGCTTCAAGACTGCAGCCGCAAGCCGTTTGCTCTGCTTTACACTTTTGGTTGGTACTTCACTATTAAAGGGGAATTCCACTGATTTTTCAATCATAATTAGATGTTTGAGGTTTGGAGAGTGGTTTGACGTAAAATGTCTCTTTAGAGAAACATACTGACTTGCGTTTCTTTACAATAGTGGTAACAGCAACGAGAGGTCAAGATGCTTAAAAACCAGATATATAGCCATTTTACTGGGTAACCCTACTGGGCCTTCTGAGAGTTTATTTGTAATGTTGATAATGGTAAAAAAAGAGCTACATCTAAAAAAATATGTTTTCTATTTTGCCTTGCACGTACCGCTCCATCATGAATTAATAAAAAAATACATTTTAGGTCAAAATAACATCTCAGGCATCAGGAAGTGTATTCATGACAATTTCATGTAATAACTTTCTGTGAGGGAGGTTTTAGACTTCTAGCCTGAATGAAACTTTTCAAATGTCTGGTTCCTGGTTCCACTGTAAACAATTCTGACTGGAAAAGTTTCTCTAGCACAGAGCATTTCACATCAAACCACTCTGAATCATTTTGTTTACATCTTACTGCTTTGATTAAAATGTTGTACACATGTTATAATATGAATTATTATTGAAAATTCTATGTGGAACATGTGGATGCTAACATTTAATACATACCACATTTGTGTTTGTAAATAGAAAAGAAATTTGCCTACAGATCACAAATTAGCCATGACCTTTGTCATTTTTAGGACATCAAAACAAACTGGAAAAAGTACAGAATTCAGAATCTAAAGCCCAGCTCCTGAAGCCCTGCCCCTGAGCAGCTCAGCGCATGAAGTGTAGGATAAAAAGAGAAGTCTGGGGGTGATTACTTGGTCGAGGGTGCCAGGCGGCTCTTACATTGCAGAGGGAGTGTGTCCTGTGCCGCGGTGAGTTAATGTCGCTGGGAGTGGACGAGCGGTCGCCATCGGCCGCTGAGGCATCCGAGAGGATGGAGGGCTGACGGGAGTGACAGGGGCTGATCCGCAATGCAGCTAGAAACAAGACAGACAAGGAGTGCGTGAGGAAGGACACAAAAAAGGACACACTCAAAGAAGGACACAGTGCTCAGCTTCCATCCAAGTGTTCAAAGTGTGTCAAATAACAAAGGCTTGATGGAGACGGAAAATATTACATTGTCAAACTTCACATAAAAGTTTGGATGCTTGCTTAAGGTGGATACATTTTTTACTCTTAAAAATGATCAATTATGATGGAATCGCATTTGCCAAATAAATACTGTACAAACAGAAAAGTCCGGTTGTAGCTATGGTAATTACTTAATTACTGCAGAAATTTAAAGATTTTTAAAACACTTTAAAAAAACATAACAGGAAAATTAGATTTAAAAAGCCAGCCACAGATGCTGAGTCATTATGTTTGCCATTACGTTTTGTCTCCATGATTTTACAACGTAAAAACTGCCATAAAATGAAACAAAACAGCAAGAATAAACTGCTCAACAGTTAGGATTTGTTTGTAAACTCCCGGCATATTTCTCAGGCGTGTTTTAATAATGTGATGTACAGACTTTTGCTCATGACATTTCAGTACTTATTTGGTTTTAATTTTGACAGCTGAATGGAAACCTGGCACTTGATGCGAAGGACTGCTCTCATCTCATCTCATGCTCTTACTGCTATTTAACTGCTTATGGTCTGCTACTCTCAAACACCTACTACCTCAGACTACACGACACCACTGGATACTGGATGTGCATGTGTACCTTGTCTGTCTGCAGGGTGTGAATGGTACAGTGTTTGCTGGCTCTGTCTGATTGCTGCAGTCAGTGGAAGTTCGGCCTGCATCACCCACTCCTGACTGCCGTTTACCACCGGCTCTGAGGGCATGGCCAGAGAATGACGCTTCGGAACATCTTTAGTCAGGGTAGCCAGAGACTGCTTCGCCTGAGGGGCAAAAAACACACACGTACACATACACACACATACCTTGTCATTATGTGGGGTCATACACAGGTCTCATATATATATATATATATATATATATATATATATATATATATATATATATATAACAAAGTATGCATTACAGTAATTTAATTCCAGTAATGAAGTAAGGGAGAGCGGGGCACAAGCTAACGCTGGGTAAAATGCAACACTGTTATAGTTAAAAAAGTTCAAGTAAAACATGCTTGGTCATCCTTTCATATTCCCAAATCCCACAATTTTTGAGCAAAAAAATAAACTGTGTTAGGTTGTAACCTATTCTCCCCTAGTCCAATGCTTTACAGTTTAACTTATTTTATTCACACTACCGTTACTGATTTAATAAGAATTTTATTACTTGTGATACTTAATTGTCTATAATAAAGCAATATTTATTTTACATGATACATTTGAAACATATTTTTCTCTATAATTTCCTCTTTTGTCCTTTTCATGCAATCGCTTACAGCTGACTTTTAATGTGTATGTGACCAGTGCAGTGCGATGCCTGTGTTTAAAGCCAGGTGACAGGCCATTTAAATGACATATACTGTATCGGGTTATCTCCTTCCAAATAAAGTGAAAGGATTACTGGGTATCCCTGTGTACTTTTCAGTAGGTACAGATGTGTTTGGGTTTTAAAGAGCACTGTAGAAGTAATGAGTAATGAGATAAAGACATCCAAGACATAGAGGAATTCCATTATTAATCAGTTATTTGAAATGGGCAGTTATAGATGTATGAATGAATGAATTTAAAATGGATTACTTTTGTTCAAGAAACTGCCCCAATGCACATATAATTATCTCCTTAATACTCCTTAAAACTTTTTTCTAATTTCATTTTTTCTACAACATTTGAGCACAGCAGCTGCCCTTTGTATTGTGTGAAGAAATCATGACGTATGGACCAATACAAATGCTCTGAAAATTGCTAAGAACAAAATTTGTTTACATTAACTTACATGCAAAGTAAAGACTGTCTTTGCCCTCTTTTTTTTTTAAATATGTGTTTTTCTTTGGACAGTGACGATATGTAAGTAACAATCATTTTCTAAGCCTAATAGTAAATTTAACTCTAATCTCAACCTCAATGACATCAGATATAAATAGAGTCCCAGAACATAGCAACTCAATAGAATAACTGTACTAATGAACAGCACTAAAAATAAACAATAACAACAACAACAACATTAACCAAAGAAATTTAATTTGTCATGCCGCGCCACTCTTGTTTTTAGCCTCCTCATCAGGATCTCAGGATGCGGGTTTCACTCAACAGGATCTAAGTGGCCCCCTCAGACTAAAACTTTTAATCTGTGTGTTTGTTTGTGTGACTGTGTGTGTGCGGAGTGTTGGCACTGCAGGTGGGGCGGCACACAGAGCACAGAGACATTAGGCAGATGAACAGAGTAATGATGCTTTTACTGCACAGCCAACAGCCCTCCAGCCTCCCCACAGGGCGCTGTGTGTGTCGGAGAGAGTGTGTTTTAATGCCAAAACAACAGTATGCCATGTGTCTATAGTGAAGTTATGAAGGCTGGCAAAGAGCCATCTAGAGGCCTGAGGCTCTCCCTCTTTCTATCTCTCCCCTGTTCCTTCTCTCTCTTTCTCTCAGTCTTTCTTTTGTTCTGTCTCTCTTTCCTTCACTCTTTCTGTCTCTTGGTGTGGCGTACTAGCTGGCGTACTACCTGACGTCACCAAACAGACTGACAGAGGTAAGTGGTTGCATATATTATTCAATCAATATATCGCTGCTATTGTTTTTCAGGTTTTGACATAATTTTAAAATGCCTTTTGCCCTTTACATTCTGTGTAGAGCCAAAAAAGGGCCAAAAGTAATGGCCCAAAATTACTTGGAAATAAGTCTGATTACATTGACTCATGTTAAAAGTAAAGTATGTTTTTCCCTTCTCCTGTAAAGTTACCATTCCAACAGCAGTGATATATGTGCTAATTGGCTAATATACCAACTAAATTCACTGATTTTTTTCTTCTGTTGTCTGTAATTGTGTAACTTCGAGATTTTGAAACTAAAATAAAAAGTGCTATATAAACAAATTAATATTATTATTATTATTATTATTATTATTGTTGTTCTTTTTACTTCATTAACATACCACCAACTGACTAATTTATCTACTATGTCCATTTGTCAGTTAACGTATCTGCTGGTCAACTAACATACAAGCTAATCGACTAATATATAACTGCTATCCTACTAACATATCCGTGAAACGACTAAAATATGCTCTAGTCGACTAATATATCTGCTAGTAAGGGTGGGTGAAAGAAATCATCACAATAACAAAATATTGTCATACTGCCCAACCCTTTTTGCTGCTTAACTAATATCTTTGTAGATTGATATATCTGCTAGTTGACTATCAGCTAATCGAGTAAAACGTTCACTAGTCGACTACTATGTCTGCTAGTCAATTAATATATCCTTTAGTCTTCTAATATACCCACTAGTTGACAAATACGTACCCTAGCTGACTAATATATCATTAAGTTGACTAAAATATCCACTATTCAACTAAAATAGCTGTTATATCTGTTAGCTAAAATAAATCTGTTGGTTGGCTATCGACTAACATATCCACGAGTAGATTAATAGCCACTAGTTATCTAATGTAGCCATGTCTCAACAAGTATATCCACAAATGGGCAGTGTGGGCAGCTGTAGCTTAGTCAGACGCAGTGGCTAGCTTTCATTTTGGTAGTGAAACACAGAAGCAACAGAAGCAGTAGTTTGCAGAAGGAGGTTCTAGACGGCAGTTTTTCTGCTAAACACGAATCCTACACCCAGTAATACTTCTTATGAAACTAATTCCACTCTTTCCTCTGTGAGCTGAAAGTTTTATAAGTGTGTGGTGTCTGTGGTTGTGTGTGTGTCTCACCATAGTAAGCTCTGCCTCCAGCTCTTTAATCCTGTTCTCCTTCATATCAATCTGTGATCGTAGCAGGTTAGCGTGCTCTGTGGCTTCTTTGGTCTGCCGCCGTAAATCCCACTTCTCCCTCTCCAGCAGGTCCTTCTCTTTAGCCAGAGCTTTCACCGCATCCTCGCTTTCCTGCATGCAAACACACACAGCATCAGCATCACTACACTCCACCATAACCTTTTTACGTCTACAGTGGTACGTTAGCATGTTAGCGTAGTGAAAAGCTTCAGTGTCGTGTCAGTGTGTCTCCTGGGGAACGAAACAAACCAAATACAGCAATCAACACTTCATTACCTAAAAGAGTAAATAATTAGCTCAATTGTTTCCATACGTCTGACGGCTCCTTATTAGTTTTAACTTCAACTGCAAGTGTTAGAAAGGCAGAGGAGAATCTATGCTTGTTGCCAGCTGTACATATAATGTAAATCTGCTTTTGTTTAATTATTTATTCTGTATGTCATCCTTTCATTTAATACCCTGTAAAGCACTTTGCTCACTTGTATGAAATGTGCTATATAAATACAGATTACTATTTTTATATATTATTGCATGTATAGGGCGGCACGGTGGCGCAGTGGGTAGCGCTGTCGCCTCACAGCAAGAAGGGCCTGGGTTCGATTCCCGGCCGGGTGACCAGGGTCGTTTCTGTGTGGAGTTTGCATGTTCTCCCCGTGTCTGCATAGGTTTCCTCCGGGTACTCCAGTTTCCTCCCACATTCCAAAAACATGCAGTCAGGCCATTTGGACATGCTAAATTGCCCCTAGGTGTGAATGTGTATGTCTGTCTGTCTGCCCTGCGATTGACTGGTGACCTGTCCAGGGTGAATCCTGCCTTCTGCCCAATGACAGCTGGGATAGGCTCCAGCACCCCACTGCGACCCAGAAGGATAAGCGGTTTAGATGATGGATGGATGGATATTGCATGTATTTGCATTTGCAATGTGTAACACTACAAAATCTGCTACCATATCTGTAAACATCTAATGACTTATCTGAGATGTTAGTCTATGAACCACTGCATGAAACCGCTGCTCTGAGTTTGTTCTGGTCAGTGTAAAGCGAAGAGGTTAAAGTGCGTGGGATGAGAGTGGTCAGGTTGCTGACCCTTGTGTGCTGGCCACAGTTTAAGTGTGTGGGCATAAATGAGAGAGGTGAAAGGTTGCTCACCTTTCTGTGCTGGTCGTAGTTTCTGATGAAGTCTCGGAGCTGCTCCTCACGACTCTCCAGCGTGGTGTAAAGCTGCTGCATCTGGTTCACTAGGTCAGCTTTCTCCGCCTTTAACCTCTTACGGTCACCCTTCATAGCTACACACACAAACACTTAAACATTAATGCCATTTTCCAAATGACTACTGGTTATTTTTAACAACACAGGTGAACGTAGTGTAAAAAAAATGTTAGAAAATATTAAATAAAAATTAAAATATACTAAAGAACTACTTAAAACTGCTGATCGAGCAGATAATTATCTGAGAACTGCCTGGGCAGTTTTCGAATGAGCACGATTGATTGACATCCCTCTATCCAACACACCTAGCCTGCTACACCATTTATGCTGAACTGAACTTTACAGCACGAACACAGAGAAATTAGTGAAATGAGCACACTACCCCCTGTGTTTACAGCTTACTAAAAACAATAAGATTTTGTGTTATGCTATTTTAAAGAAGGTAAGGCTCTGCAGGATGTACACCTAGGGAATGTACATGCAATGTTATTGTCGGGACCAAGGGCTATCCCCTTCAACCCCAGGCCTCCAAAATAATATAATTAATAAATAAATCTTTCAATACTGGCTAAACACTAATAACTTTTTTAAGTCTAAGTTCTCAAAAGATGTCAAAAAGAATAAAGCCTTCAGACACTGAGTTGTGGAAAGAGAAAAAGGCTTCTTCTTTATTTCAGCATCAAGTGGCACGCAGGTCTCCAGAGACCAACTGCACAAATACAGTGTTCTGACAGCGCCTCATATACCCTTATCTGGGGTGTTATGATGTCACCTCAAACTTGATGTTCCATTAGTCCCCATTCAAAAACTACCCCATCACTTGGCCTCTTAAGTTCACTGCGTATGACACTTCTTTTTTTTAAAAAGCTGGTTTCAGCCAGTTCATACCAGTTTATCTGATCCTACAATGCCATACTGAAACATATATCATATGGACTCATATGAGTTCACTGACAGTGCACTTGCAAGTAAGGTCATCTAAGTTCATTTGCTTTTGGAAAGCCCCCGAACAGGCAGACTATAGCCTTATGCCTTTCCTATGTTACCTCTTAGTGAAAAATTCATATTCCCTTTTAGGCAATGCTTAACTATTTGGTTGCTGATTACATTACATTACAATCTATTTTACTTATTGATTATGGGTGTATTTATTAAAAATTTCCCATCATCATCATGGCCAGTTAGACAACAAACAAACAAATGTATGTTTAAAGTATGTAAAATCTGTTCCAGCTGACGGAATAGATATGATTCCAGTTTAAGCAATGTTTCTGTCCACAAAAACAATGCTAGCCTATTTGAGCCATCTCAGTTTTTTACATGTGAAGCCTTCTTTTTTTCACTTGAATGTGAGTGAAGCATAGACTTTACTTAAAATAATAATATACTAAAATGTTGTGGTACAACCAGAACAGCTCCTGCGCTGTACTAACGGTGTGTGGAGGAGACTCTTCTCTGATACAGCTGTAAAAAAAACTCAAATAAACAGATCTGCTGTTTGTGCTGTCAGGTTTTAAATCTGCTGATTCCTTAGAAAAAAAAGGGAAAAAAGAGCTAATATTCTTGCCTGAAGCAGATACCTGATGGAGTCATTGGCAGTGTGGATCGGATGCAGTGGCTTTAATCAGTATACTTACATATTTGGGATTATTTTTTTGACAAGTATTTTTCTTATTGTTGGATAACTTTAAGTGCTCCCTCACATGGGATTCATGTCTAGGGCATCTTTGCTTTTTTAGCTTCAATGGCCACATGAAAAGCAATGCAGTTTGTTGTGCTCTGAGGTAAAGTGATGTGGATGTCTGGTATTAATATATGATGGATTCAACTAAATCTGCTATGACATTTTCTTTGATTTTCTCTTAATAATATGTCTTTAAGATTTTGACATTTGATGTTTTTTTTTTTCAATAATACAAACACTTTCACCAACAATTAACCCCATAAACACTAGCCTCCTGGGAGTCCACACTTATGTTCCTCACAACTACAGAAATTAGACATTAGTTACTGAATTACAGATTACAGATTAAGATGAATAACAACTTGCAGTTCAAAGGATAAATAAATCAGTCACTGATAATTCTTTGTGGCATTCAAAACTCCCTATAAACTGTAGGTAGGAAAATGTCTCTTTAAACACTTTGTTGTTGTGAAATTCCTGACTGCTGTATAAAAGAATGCTGAGCATTAACATTACAGTTGCTACAGTTACACTGCAGTTTGATGTGCAGGGTGCACTACATAACATGGCCTCCAGGGGGTGCTGTGTACTAATGCAAACGTTTCCAAAGGGGTTGGGGTGGAACCTACATCTGTTCTATTGTTCCTTGATGTCAAAGAAAATAAATTGCATATGCATTAAAAGATTAGAGAAAGAACAAAAAAAATTAATGTTCCCAAGGTTACAAAACTTTTCTGTAAAGTTGCTCCAATGAACATAAAGTAGTTGATACGGAGCCAGGACCTATTCGAGGAAATATGAGAAGAAATATGAGAACCTACTGCATCCACTGCAGATCTGAAAACTTTGTATTTATTTTTCATATAAAGCCACAGAGAATAGCACCAGTCTTTTCAGTGAGATAGAGAAGACTTTTTTTTAGAAAAAAGTGTCAGTTATTTTGTCCAAAGCTATGTTGCACATTAAACTTTTAAGAGATGCCGCACTGTTTCAAAACCACAACCAGTTCTTCCACTATTAGTGCACACACAGACAGTCTGCCACCTGCTTCCTTCCCGCTAACACGCACACAGCAGGCCAAAACATTTTTAAAGACTGACTGACATTATTACATGTGATGATACATCCTGGAATGCGTGCTGAATGTGGTGACACATCTAACTATGTGTGACTGTCTGCGTGTATATAAACTGTGTAAGTTTGAATTTGTTTGCTTGTGATTGTCAGCCATTACAACATTTTTTTGACAAAGCCAATTCTATGAAATAAACTGATTATTGTGACATTGTGTCATATCTACTAAGAATTATTTACTTATTCTATTAATTATTCAGTAACTATTATAAATTATTCAGTAGCTACTATGAATTACTCAGTTACTACTAAACCTTATGTAGTACCAACTACTATGAATTATTCAGTAATATTTATGAATTATAAAGTAACTGCTATGATTTTGTTCTGCTATAAATCATTAAGTATCTTCTTTAAATTTTTCAGTCACTACTAGGAGTTATTTAGTAACTACTATAAATCTGCAAGTATATTCTATAAATGAATGAGTATCTAATATGAATTAACAGCAGCGATATACATACGTTATTTGCAAACTCTGAAGCAAGTTTACTTATTTTTTAACAAATTAATATTTTACTTAGATAAATTAGGGTTTCTGAAAGGAAATGTAATAAAAATAGCAAATATTAGCACTTTTCTAGCAAATATTAGTTAGAAATATTAACTTTTGATCTTGAACTCCAGAATATTTGTACTCTTTACTTTAGAATTAACTCTTTAACTTAAGTTAAAATCAATTCATAGGCTTGAATTTAATTTTTTAATTTACTTAGAAAAATATTTGCATTTATGAGTTTATAAGGGATGCAGCCGATGCTGGTATTCAATATTTTTATTGTACATATCTCTTGATGCACATGTTCACATACAAACATTAATTAAATGTAGACATTGGGATTACTTCTTCCAGATTACCATTACAAATAATATTTTTTTGTATAGGGTTAAAATGCAGTATAATAAAATGCAAACACTTTAGCACAGAAGACCAGAATCACCCAAACATTCTTTCTGGTGTACAATAAACATGTTATCAAATATCACTTTGAAATATGGGCCAAATCTTAACATCAGTTCGATGCTGATCATTTTTTCTAAGCAAATATCTGCTGATACTGATCTGATTATGATATCATTCCACATCCCTGGTGTTCAGTTTACCTACTCATCTTGTACAGGTGATTTTAATGGTGCTCTATACTTCATTACTAAACCTAATAATAAAGTTATATACTTAGCATTGAATACGTAAGAATGGAAGTCTGAGGGACAAGTGGTGATTACAGCATTATGCTGTTACTGATTCTGCCCAACTCTCCTTCCAGCCTATACTACATGCTAGTTCAGTTTGTAGTGTTATAGACAGTCGTGCCTGCCTCCAGCTGAAGTATTACTAAAGAAACTTTTACTTGGTGCAGAGCCACGCTGGCTGTCATTCTGTAGTTCAAGGGAACTGGGGAGGTAATGATTCCTCCACACAAACCAAACAGGATTTACAGTTCAGGTCCAACCACACTGTCTGAAACAGCTCCAACTCCCTCAGGTACGCCAAAACAAGATGTAGATGCTCTCCACTTTTGTGTATCTAGGCCTCGTTATCTGTCTGCACAGGTAAACATGGGAATTGTTCAAGCAAGCTTCTTTGTAGCTTTTCCCTGTAGCACACCATGACACAGAATCAGGAAGAGGACACAGCAGAACTTGTGGGACACTTACAAAAAACAGAATTTGCACAACCTAAATAGTTCTCGTTCGTTCCAGCTAAGAATGCTAATACTAGCACGCAGAGGCTCAGCAAGTGTTTGGAAAGCACAGTCCACTGACTCAATTCAAAATCAGGACTGAAGATCAGTTCCTTCAGTTCTTCACCCCTCTTCACCATGCTCATAGCTCAGTGTGCTTACGCAAACCTCTCAAACATGCTCCAGGAGCATTAGCAAGCAGATAAAGAGATGTCAGATAAGATTAGTATACAGCTATCGCACACACACACATACCAAAGCCCCTGCTGACAGACGGCTAATCCCTCTCAGCTGAAAGATCTCACCTGAGAGATCTGCATCACACACTTCTCAAACTGTACTTTTTCAAATCACGATGGAAATCAAGAGGCAAAGCTCTCATTATTCTACTCTGAAAATCTTCAAACCTCAGCTAACACCCAGCAGGTAAAAGAGCTACTTAGCAGATTCAGGTTTTAAGCAGAACTCAAGAAAAAGCACAGCATGGTGCTGCTTTTTCCCAGCATCAAGTGGCCAGCTAGGTGCTGGATGATTAACAGCTACTATCAGGACTATTCCCATGCTGCCTCACTTT